CTGGCAGGTTGCATTTGGGGTCCCCAAAACGCTACGAGCTTCGCTGATTTAAGTTCCTTTGAGGATATCCAACATGATCAATTCACTGAAACTTTCGATTAAACGTTTCCCAAGCCTGTAAAAAATCAAGTCAGCCAGAGTATCCCAAATGTCGGGTGCTTTGGAAAAACTCAGATGGAAAATACTCTCGAAGCAACTGGGCCAGTTACCGGGCGGCTCCAAAGGTCCGACCAACAGAACAAAAATCCCTAGGTTTTGCTTGCGTTCAATATGTTCAAACATTGTGGGCTGTTTACAAGCTCGATTCTGCTGAAAACTACTGCAGGACTAAGGGCTGCTACAGTACTACACAACTAGTATTGCCGACTCTGACTCGAAGTAGCTGCTTCAGGCCTACACCTAGCCAAACTACACCAGCCGGCCCTGGGCCTACCCAGGCCTGTAACCTGAAAGAGACCCCTTCGATAAGGAGGGGTGGGGGGGGGTTGTTGTTCGTAGATTTGGGGAATAACAACCCCCCCCACCCCGTGGGCGGGGCACGGGCAGGGGGGGGTGAGAACAACAACAGGGGGGGGAGGGGTTGTTGTTCTTCTCAAGAAAGGGGGAACAACAGGGGGGGGGTTGTTATTCTCTCAAGAAGGGGTGGGAACAACAAGGGGGGGGTTGTTGTTCTCTCAAGAAGGGGGGGGAACAACAAGGGGGGGGTTGTTGTTCGAAGAAATAGGCGGTTGCTACTACTACTACTCCTCCTCTTCCTGCTGCTGCTGCTGCTGCTACTACTAACTACTACTACTACCACCTACTACCTACTACCTACTACCTACTACCTACTACCTACTACCTACTACCCACTACCTACTACCTACTACCTACTACCTACTACCTACTACCTACTACGTACTACCTACTACCTACTACCTACTACCTACTACCTACTACCTACTACCTACTACCTACCACTACTACTACTACTACCACCACTACTACTACTACGACTACGACTACTACTACTACAACGACTACTACTACTACCACCACCTACCACCTACCACCTACTACCACATACTACCTACTACCTACTACCCACCACCTACTACCTACTACCTACTACCTACTACCTACTACCTACTACCTACTACCTACTACCTACTACCTACTACCTACTACCTACTACCTACTACCTACTACCTACTACCTACTACCTACCACTACTACTACTACTACTACTACTACTACTACTACTACTACTACTACTACTACTACTACTAAACTACTACTACTACTACTACTACTACTACTACTACTACTACTACTACTACTACTACTACTACTACTACTACTACTACTACTACTACTACTACTACTACTGCTACTGCTACTGCTACTGCTACTGCTACTGCTACTGCTACTACTGCTACTACTGCTACTACTGCTACTACTACTACTACTGCTACTACTACTACTACTGCTACTCTTAAGCGTGTTCGCCAAAATGCAGGAAGGGAGAGCCACAGCCTTAGGGGTGTTAAAGCGAAGCAAATACAATTGATCATGAATGATTTGGTTTGGAAGGTTTGCAAATTGGGGGGGGGCTGCGCCCCCCCAACCCCCCCCGCTTGTCCCAGACTAAACTCCCGGCTGTCTTGAGCCGCCAAGAAATGAATAAGAACGTGTTGGCCAACACACAAGAAGGAGAGAGCCGCATGCAAACGCTTTAGGGGTTCAAAAACAAAGACAATACACTTGATCATGAATCATTTGGCAGGTTTGCAATGGGGGGGGCACGGGCAGGGGAGGGGGGGTGAGAACAACAACAGGGGGGGGGGGGGGGTTGTTGTTCTCTCAAGAACGCGTTGTTGTTGTCTCAAGAAGGGGGGGGAACAACAAGGGGAGGGGGGGGGTTGTTGTTCTCTCAAGAATGCGGGGAACAACAAGGGAAGGGGGGGGGGGGGTGTTGTTGCTCTCTCAAGAACGCGGGGAACAACAAGGGGGGGGTTGTTGTTCTCTCAAGAAGGGGGGAACAACAATAGGGTGGGGGGGTGTAGGGGGAGGGGGTTGTTGTTCTGCAAAATGGAGAACAACAACCCCCCCCCACCCCTCTATCGCAGAAAAACACAAGAAACGTCCAAAAGCCTAAAATCCCCAAAAGCAGAGAGCAGTCCCCTAAGTGCAGAAAGGCACGAAAAGCACACCACCGAAAAGTTGGAGAAGCGCTGAAGAAGGGGCAAAGTCGAAAATCTCCACAAATACCGAAAAGTTCGATAAAGCGACGAAAGCAGCGACAACCCGAAAAGAACGGAAAATTGCGAAATGCAGAAAAATCAAACCTTCTCGACGTTTTCACTTTTCGACTGTCGAGATTTGATTCGGTTCTCCGCTTATCGGAACCAGCACACCTGGTGTTGTATAGTAACCCCGTATAAAAATCCTTATCCCTGAGTGTTGTTATCGTTTTATTTTCTTCTTATCGTTTTACCACGAAAACTGCGTCATCGTTTTGTTATCCTTTCATTTTCTTTTTGTCGTTTTTCCACGGAAAAGCATCCAAACCGATTACAGACGTGTCGAGACTAAACTTAACAGCACGGGGTTATTATACAGTCCTACCTGGGAACCCCGAAACGGTTCACAGACGTGAAGCCGCCAAGCTCAGGGGCTCGCAATGTGTGGCATCTTGACATGGCCTCCTGCACTGTCATCGTTTCGACCTCACCATTGTCACAACGGGGCTCGATGAGACCCGTCTCTGCAGTGGAGGCTCCGCATGTTGTAGAATGTGTTGTACACCATCTTGGCGCTGACGAAGTGTCCCAAGACAAGGGTGTGTGTGTGTGTGTGTGTCAGTCAGAAGAACCACACCAGGAACAACTTGGGTCACCACCAGGATGTCATCGGAAGTGCTGTTGCCCTGCAGACGTTGCCACGTCATGTCAGGACATTGCCCTGAAAAGGACTGGAGCTTCGGCCGGCACTTGAAGACGACCCTCACGCTGTTCAAAGCCTGGAACACAAAGGGCCTATGGGTATTGCTGCTGAGTCGTTCCTCTGGTGAGCCGCCGACGGCCCATTAGAAACAGGATGTCCTAAGGCTTTCAAGTCTTGTGGTTCGTCTTGCTTTCCACCTCCTTTTGAGTGCAGCACTCGCTTGAGCTCGTTCTTCTCATACTGAAGCAACATACGCCTCAGTTGCCAAAGAAACTTCGCGAGGTCTGCGGTTGCCGAAGCCGTGGCTTCGCGCGTTCCCTCGAGGCCACAGCGTCCGCATTGTGGAATCTGCCTCCAGCACATGCAGATCTGCATCATCGCCTGACAGTTCGGTGCCCCAGCTACCGGGGGCATCTTATGCCGCAAGATGTGTTGTAGACAGACCAGGCACGAAAGGCAAAAAGCCATGCAAACCTGGGTTCCATCCCGGCGGTCTGGGAGCAGATTCCAAAGACCTCTGCATCAACGCAGCACTTCCCGTGGAGCTTGCGCAAAATCAAAATGCAGGGAATTGCAGGGACCTCACGCTAATGCATTGTGCAAGGGCTGTGTCAATGTCTCGTCTCGAAAATCGCCTCAGATGCGTCGCTCGCGGATCCTTGAAATCAGCAACCGGGTGACCGGCCTTCCAGCCCTGGACGATACACTCCATCAGGATCCTCTGCGAACAACCTCCGCAAGACCTGGAGCACAGGCCAGCCAGCTTGAACTCAGGAGGGCACCTGTAGAGCCTCCAGTTTGATGAACCGCGTTCGTCTCATCAGGCCATAGAAACCACCGGTGCTACCTGTGTCGATCTGCACAAGTCTCCATCGACCTCTTCCACAAACTCTGTTTCAAAGCAGATTCAGTTTGCCAAAGCATTCCGTCTGCTTTTCTCATTTTCCATCTTGTTCGTTGTATATATCTGTGCGTTAAGGATCCGCCCCCTCGACGGGGGTGTTAGATTGATGTAGCGATCTGCGGGAGTCAGGAATAATACAACCCGTCCGTTCCATCCTTTTTTGCCACTCGTGCTCGACAAGTCAGACGAGGTTTGCAGGAAAGTCTCGACACAACAAGCAATACCGTTTCATCCTTGCAAGGCTTAGGTTCGCCTTGTCTTGCTCAAGCTGACCGGTGAGGCTGTGGGCACACCTCAAAGCCTCATCTACGTCTCAGACTTGGTTCGGGTATCGGTGGGCGTTGGACAAAACAATACAAAACACCTCATGTGTCAAACCTTTGCTGACATCCTGTACATGGCTTTCCTTGGCAAGCAGCTTTGGAAGGACTTGATTTTGCCTTTTTTGGCCTGCACGGCTGGGTGCGTATGCTTTTGCTTGCCTCGCTTGCTTAACCCGAGATGAAGAAGGCTACAACAAGAACCAAACCAAACAGACTGCCGACCGTTGGGCCGCAGGCCATCCGGCCGACCCAGATCGGTCCTGGAAAGCTCCAGCTTCACCCGGCTTCAACTCTCGGCGACCAGGGCTAGAGCAGAGCATATTGGACTTGAACTTCGTGCCATGGCCTCTGGGCTCACCACATGTACAACACAAAAAGCGCGCACCACCTCAATCTTTGCTTTCCGACTGAGCACATGGCTTTGCCTTGACTTCAACCTGAGCACCAGCGAATCTGACACGAGTTTGGCATGGGCAAACATGCAGGTAGCACAATCGCTTTGCATACAATCCCTGCGATGCACTGTTTGCCACCGCACACAGGGAGACACAGCGTAGCCCCACAGAGTTGCGCTTTGGTTTGTGCAGTTCGGAGCTTGAAGTTGATTCTGGTTCGATCAATTTTTGAAGGCGTGACACTTTCTGCACACTCACTGAAACAATAAGGGCCAACTCCATCTTCTCCGTCATTGGTGGGAATGATGAACTTCGGCCTCGGCCGAAACTCTTTACTCTAAACTCCGGTCAACCGACCATGCACAGCTCGCATGCCTCGAGTGACCGAGTTAGCTACGGCTGGTTTACTGTGTCGCCGTGAAGCTGCGCCTGCTCTGCAAACTTGTCTGCAGTTCAGGGCACACCGGACTCGATGTGCCTCTTGGAGGCTGCGCGACGGAGCCCCACTCCGGCATCGACCAGCACCAGAAGTCTGCAACACCGACCAAGTGAGAGTGGGAGCTTTGCAAATGACGAAAGCCAGCCAGACTTCCACCGGCCTGCGACACAAGAATGGGGCCTTGAACAAGGATCTGGACCTGGAGGGTCAGACAGACACAGTTGCCTTCTGGAGGACGCAAACTCGTCGCCTTACCCGGCGAAAGCGTGAATCTGTGCCATCTCCAGCCTGAATCAGGAAATTTCTTCGGAGCTCCCACCGTGCTACTCTTGCCATGGCCTAAGGCTGCGTTGAAGCGCATTCGATGGCAATCAGGAGGAACCTGCACGCACGAACGCACACCAAGTTGATCAGGGTTTCTCCGGCTGGCGCCTTCGGCTCTATCCTCACGACAGGAGGAGTTCGCGGGTCGTGCACCTGGTCGGTTAGATGGTGAATGGGGAATGTCAAGTCTAGGAGTCTAGGAGTGTGGGCTAGAAGGAGTCTAGGAGGATGGCCAGCACCCTGGAGGTGACGATTGAAGAAGGTCGGTCCTCAGGCTCTTCTGCATCGCCAGGCACATGCACCATCAGCCATCTCGGCCGCTGGCACCAGAACTGTCCCAGCAGAGGTCTTGCAAGAGGTTCTTGAACAAAGCACCTACAGTCGGACAGCCCGGGCCAGGCAACATCCCAGCCTGGTGCCACGTCTCATCTACGCACAGGTTTCTGAGATCATTGCGTACAAGGGAATGTACCTTTGTCTTTTTCCGACCTCGTCGGCGGATACTTTCGATGTTACACTGAGGTACACTGGTGATCACAAAAAGCTCTCTGGCCTCCAATTCCCACGGCTTCGTCTCGCGAAACTTGATGAAATCGAAACAGCCTGGTGGCTGAGTTCTTCAAAGATATCGGAGGCATGGGCTGCAGAGTTGCAAACCTCTGAATGGTTCAACATGCCAAAACCGGTTAACGGGCTTCTTCTGCATCCGAGTTGCCTCACAGCCCGCTGGAATCGAGCTGCTTTGCGGGTGCCGGCCTGTGTACTAAAATGGCTCAAGCGCCAAGAATAAGAAGTCGCATGGCCAAGCACAAGCCACAGCTGAACCATGTTTCGAGTCAGCAGTCGAGTCTGCCAGGAGTCTGCCAGTTATTCGGCAGGCATGCTGTACAAGCCTTGCGAGACATTAGTCGGAACACCTACATCTTGCAGAGTTCGGCCGAGGCTTTCTCGGAGAATACGGTGATGCCTGTCTGACTTATTCTGCCCTATGCTGAAAGCTTTCCGGCAACTTCTGCAAAGATTCACAAAACATCACAAAATGCAGGGTGGTGTTGTGGGACTCGTGTCGCCTCGGCGCGACAGAATGCTCTGGCGGACTGGGTCTTTCCAGACTGCTGCTGTCTGCGGTTCAGAAGCTGAGAGCCGGCTGAGATTGCCCCAAGCAAGGCTGCAACGACCTGCCCAAAGCGCCGCTGCGATCTCAAAAATGCAAGTCGAAAGGGCTGCCTTCTTGGCTTTTGCCCCAAGCAGGTCCTCCTCAGTCTGCACAGCGCTCGGCATGGGCTTCGAGATCTCGAAGGCAGCCTCCAGCGTAGTGCCGCAAACCCAGCCAACACCTCAGAACCTATCAACGGCAGGCGCCTGCTGTAGCACGGAAGCCTTGGAGGGGTCAGGAGCTCGTCAGGCAACAGAGGCGGAGTTGCCATGATCTGCGTCAGCAATTCCTCCCAGAATCGCGTGACGCCAAGGCTGCCAAATTTGGACGTCGAGCACATGTCACATGTCCTGCGATACCGGGTCATGGTCTTCCTCCACTGCCTCGTTTTCAGAAGTATCCGCTGGCACGGCCCCTTCAGGACGCAAGGCCTCAGAATCACAAACGCGTAAGCATCTAGCAGTCCGTACCTGCATTGAGAGAAACTCCCGCCTCGGGCAAGGCAAACTCGTGCGACCGGAAGTCTGGACAGTCGGCAGCATCATGGCATTTCTGATACACCACCCAGCGCTTGCGGTTGATCACCAAGTAGATGCCGTTAGACTTGTGGGATGCACCCTTCTTGAAACAAAAGCGGTTATTGACCAAGGAAACCACCATGTACTCTCCGCTTCCCATCAACAGACTTCGCTGAACGCGAGTTGGATTTGGAAAGGCTTCTTGTCCCTCGTTCTTGATGCGCACGTCGTCCCACAACTCGACAAGGTACCTTGGTCAAAGGAGAGCTGTGGGCTACTGCACTGAGAGAATACCAAGTACGGATGTCGAGTACGGCTGCCCAAAAAGATGGTTGCATTTGAGTGACACATATCCATACTGCAGGCATTAATGCTGCCAATTCCTTTCAGGACGGTTAAGGGCGGACCTGCACGGTTCGGGGTGGACCTTCTTCACAGCGCTTTGGGAGGCCAGTTCCTGACAGGCTTTCAAGCTCAAGCTGTCGCACGGGAAATATGCATCAGTTCGCTTTGCGACGCCGGTGTCTGCACATTAAGCTGAAGCCGTTTAAACATTCCCCGACTCTAGTGGCTGTTTAGTGCTGCCTCCTGCCCGACTCGTCCCATACACTGGCTCTTGCACATTCGCCAGCACTCTGCTGCAATCCCTCACTTTTTGCTCTTTTCAGCAATGTCCAGCAATAACTGCAGTTCAGCTGCCGGTGAAGTGCTGCATTGTCGGAAAGCGGCAACTCCTTAACCTTACTAGACGCCAGGGTGAGAGTCAACACAGGCAGCAAGCACATAGTTTACAGTAACAGCGGTACAAGTACCAGATGCCGAAAATACCGGGCGGCATCATCTGCCGTGAGCCGCGGGCGCACATGCGCGGACGTGTCCAGGCAGCTTCGTCGAAGATCTTTGTGCTGCAAGTCCGGTGAAAGAAACGGATGCCTCTTCTGAGAGCACTTGAAACAACTGCGACTACACTTGTTGCAGCTGGTTACAGACCGATTCAGGCTGGAAGGTCACAGCTCAGTCGCCTGAAGAGCGGCGTGCCTTCCGGAACGCCAGCTACAAGGCTCTCAAAGAGCGCCACGACTGGAGCGCTCTTCCAAGTCGGTAGCAGCGGCCGACGCTTCCCAAATCTGGACATCAGAGTTCACCCGCAAACACGTACGTATGCATGCACCTTCGTGTCATAACGCCAACGTGCAATAATGAGGATGCCCTTACATGAATAGCGTGTATACATCTGAGAAAGCAGTTGTTCATGTATGCATGTATATATGCAGGTGCAATGCATGCATGAAAGAATGCATTTATGCAGGCATGAACAATGCATGGATCTCTGTATGTACGCATGCATGTATGCATGTATGTATGCATGCATGCATGTATGCATGTACGCATGTCTAAGCATGGGATGAAGGGATGGATGGACGAATGCCTGTCGGTCCGTCTGTATGTATGTAGGCAGCAACCTTTCCCCGCACAACGTGCAACGATCGTTGACAAAACAGCTGGCAACGTGTGGTCTTCTTGCCACAATGCCGTCATTCATGTCTTCAGTACGATGATTCACAACACGGAGAAACACGAACAGAGGATTTGCCCAAACGTTCGCAGCATGTTTTATTGGTTGCTCCTCCTCCTGCTCCTATGCTACTGCTACTTCTGCTGCCTACTTTACTCCTATTCCTGCTCCCACTCCTACGACTGCGACTACGACGGCGACTGCTACTAGTACTAGATCAACTACCACTACTGCTACGATGACGACTACACCACCAACCACACCACCACCACCACCACCTCCACCTCCACCACCACCACCACCACCACCACCACTACAACTACTGCTACTGCTACTGCTACTGCTACTGCTACTGCTCCTGCTCCTGCTCCTGCTCCTGCTACTGCTACTGCTACTGCTACTGCTACTGCTACTGCTACTGCTACTGCTACTGCTACTGCTGCCACTACCACTACCACTACCACTACCACTACCACCACGACTACCACCACCACTACCACTGCCACTGCCACTACCACTACTGCTACTACTACTGCTACGACTACTACGACTACTACGACTACTACGACTACTACTACTACTGCTGCTACTACTACTACTACTACTAGTGCTACTACTGCCACAACTACTGCTACCACTAAAACTCATACTGCCACTACTACTACTACTACTACTACTGCTACTACTCCTGCTGCTGCTGCTGCTGCTGCTACTGCTTCCATTTCTGCTTCAACCTGTACAATTACTACAGTACTAGTTTCGGAAATCATTTTGTGAAGGGTTCGGAAAGCTCATTTGGCCTGTGTGGGCTTTCGCGGCATCCAGGCCTAGTGATGTTTCTGCCGTCTGGAAATTATGTGGCAGGGCCCCTGCAAAGACGCCGCGAAAAGAACACACACACACACACACGGGGAAGGAGGCCCCCTCACCGAATCATGTTTCTGGTGCCTGCACAAAACGTTTAGTAGGAGAAAGCCCGAGCATAAGAAGCTGGAATGTCAATCAGACAGAGCCAGTGATTCTTACAGTTCCTCAACTAATGACTTTCTGAAGCTTGAACTCGAGCCCTGGCCTCCTGGCTTGGGATGCTACAACGTGATGCATTCTCATCAGTAGTTTTGCTTAAATGGCTGAGTATATGAAGCAGGGAGTTAGGTTTCACGGTATAGAAAATTCAGACCCATTGAAAGGCCAAGTTGATTTCAAGCATCACAGTCATCTTGCGAGACTTTGTCTGGTTACTTGTGGAGGAGTTCTTCATTCGCTGATAGTTCAAGATCCCATATCTCTGACAATGCTGAAATGGCTTGCAAACACGATGAGCTCGTTGTGGAAACGCACGTTGTTTTTTTGCCTGACGCCAACATGACCACGTGCGATGTGAATGCGCGAGCGTGACAACATGTGTGTATGGTGTGTATGTAGGTAAGTATGTAGGTATGTATGTATGCAGGATATGTGGGTTTGCATGTGGTTTGCAAGTATTCATGTATGTATGTGTGTAGGCATGTGTGTATGTCTGCATCGTACATGTATGTACATGTGTATGTCTGGTTGGTTGGCTGGCCAGCCGGCTGTCCGCTGCCCGCAGATCTACATCGGCACAATTGCCGCGTTCGCGGAGGGCTCTTTGAGTCTGCTTTGGGCTCGGGGAGGCTGTTGTGGGGCGGTGTGGCACATTGGTGGAACGGAGCGTGAGTGTGTCAGTGTGTTGGCGTATGTGCACGTGACGCGCTGGTGTTGCCAAGATGCTTGGAGCTGAACAGCACCCGGAAGCACCGATTTCGAGTATACCTGCGTCAAAATATTTGCTCGGATTCATCCTAAACCCTCCAATCGCGGGGAGGAGACACGGATTCGTCGACGACTGGAACCTCAGGAAGAGGAGATCCTGCATCCGCCGAGGCCTTCCTTGCGCAATCGTACCAGCACGAACCCAAGCAGAGAGTGGTTCTAAATCTAAGCTGCACAACCTTCGACGTAATAACCACATGTCGGGCAGGAAAATGGCAGGAGTCTCTGCCGCTGGACCCTCATTCGCAGGTACTTGCTGATTCTCCTTCTGCTTTTTGGGCTTCGCCCGAGCGAAAAGCAAGCTAGCAGCACATCGTCGCGCCTTAGCAGCTAAGCTCAACTTTCTGGTAAGCGGAGTTGTGACAGTGCGTCTGTGCAACAGAGTGGCCACATGCTGGTCCCGCACAAAGTCCATGAACTTTTTGACAAAGTATCCTGCTTGAGCATTGTTCGGGAATGCCAGCGACTGGAAGTGGTACTGCCCGCCCAAGCGTTTGGCGATCACGTGCTTGGAAAACTTTTCGTCTGTGGTCGAATCGAGTTCAAAGACGGAGTCTGTATCCAATGTCGAACCAAAGGTTGAGAAGCAGAACTCGTTCAGGAGATCGTAGAACGCCGAGATAACTTTGCCCGGGTCGAGGCTGGGGTTCACACATCTAGCAAACTCTAAATCAAAATAAAGCCAGCAGGGCTGCGTCTCCATCAACACCTCGTACAGATGTTGTTGCGGCCATTTGCCGGGAACCTCATCACACTGCTTCGAGCTCGGTGCAGATGTTAGCGCAAAGCCCACTTTCGTATCGACAAAGAAGCGTCTGCAGCCCGAGGAAGAGAACTCGCGGGAGAAAAGGCCGAGCTGATGCAGCCGGTAAACGCCTTGAGCAAGGAGACCTTCCAGGTATCGTATCGCCTCCGCTTGTCTTGCGAAGCTGCGCGGAGGAGGGGGATGAAGAGGGCTGTTCTGACCCAGACCCCCAAGCTTTCGCAGCCAGAGCTCCAAATCTTCGCTGCTTCGCAGAGCTGCAGCATTGCACCCGGCAGCAATGTCGGCCTCTGCGACTTCATGAATGCCGCAAGAAGGTACCTGGAGCCTGTGATCCTCCTTGTCATCTCCCTCGCTCGCCGTGGTTTCCACATCTTCATCTGTAGTGCACACGTCGTGGCCAGGTGTTGGCTCCACATCCCAAGGTTTGGTTGGACATAGCTCTGAATCTGGTTGTGTGGAATCGCATTGAGTTTCTGCCCAGCAGTCCTCATCACGCAAGGTCTCTTGTGTGTACTGGGTATCCAGCAGCCTGTCAATGATGCTTTTGCTCATGTTAGGATCGCCATGGCACATCCATGGCTGAACACATGGGCTGCCCCTGCCAGAAGTGGTCAGAGCACCGAGGCCCCGAGAGGCCTCCTTGAGGCATCTCCAAACGCATACATGCGCACATCGGTGAGCAAAGCAAGACACCTTCTATAAGAGCACCCGGGGCAGGGACCAGCTCAATGTCAGCCTTGTCCCACTCTGCACGCCAAGCCTCGAGTCGTACCCGAAAGCCTTGTCCTTTCTCGCCTGCCTCTCATAGCAGAATTCCGAGGCAAGCGCCGAGCAGTGTTCCTCTTCCACTTCAGGAAGTGTCAACGGCTCATCTTCCCCGTCTGCCGTCGACAAGAAGCGACTAGGCGGCTAAACCCAACCCTGGGATAAGACAGAGACGTGCCTTCCATTTCGCTGGCCACAGAGTCGGCTCTTGAGAGGAACTTTTGGAAGCGGTTTGTCTCAGCAGGTGTGCCAGATGCGAGTCTACAAACTAAAACTTGGCATCCATAGCAACTTTCCCAGATTAGGGCTTCAAAATGCGGGACCGAAACTGCGGATCCCCAGATTTACAATGGCGAGAGGACGTCACCTGGGCAATGCTCGATCCACCTGCGTGACAACACCATCAAGAGGTAGCAGTAGCGGTAGTTCGTAGCGTCGTCGTGGTAGCAGTCGTATGCAGTCGCGCTAGTAGTAGTCGTCGGTGTGTTAGCAGCAGATATAGTAGCAGCCGTTCTAGTATAGCAATCGTAGTCGTCGTCGTAGTGGTAGGAGCGTCGGCGTGGTGCTGGTGTCAATGGCAGTGCAGCAGCAGCAGCAGCAGCAGCAGCAGCAGCAGCAGTGGCCGTCGTCGTCGTCGTCGCTCCATCCGTTGTCGTTGTCCTTGTTGGTTCGCCGTTACCGTGGTGGTAGTGTAGTGGCAGCGGTAGCAGTCGTCGTCGTGGCTCGTTGCAGTCGTAATAGTCGTGGTAGTAGTCGCCGCCATCGCAGTCGTACGAGTAGTCATCGTAAACCTAGAAGATGTAGTAGCAGTCGTAGCAGCACAGCCTTACAAAGCTGGAGTTCCCGGCTGGAACGCTGACACCCAAGGACAGCCTGAGCCTGGGAGGAGTCAAAAGAAGGGCTTGCTGGCAGTGCGATTGGTGGCAGTAGTCAAAATTACATGAAAGGACACATATCGAATGATCCACTTCAAGACTGGATATATTTTTATACGCAACTATAGTAGCTTCATAATGCAAGCGCCGATGGTAATGAGTGTGCTGATGACAACTAACGGCGGAAGCTTCTCGTGTCTACGCGAGACCACCTCTTGCTCCTGTGGAAATTCGATTGTCCGAGCTCCCAAGCCGACCACTGTTGGCAATGACAGACACGACCTGAAGAAGCGCACTAAGTTAAGGCAGCACATTGACGGTACGTCTCTAACCGTCTGAAAGTGGGATTGTCTCAAGATTCGTGCCTTCTCCACCGTGTATCTGGTGCCACGTCGGGGATTGCAGAAGATGATATCCACCTGGCCATGCGAGGTTCCACGACAGCTTCGCAGAATCTACGCTCTGCAGGCCTCACATGCATCTTTGCGGACCGTACCCCAAAATGCACTAGCCTCAGCGGAATATCTGCTCTGTAAGTGCAGTGCCAAAGCCTACGAAAAAAAGCACTCTGCCAAGCCACTGAAAGGGGACTGCACATTGACATGGGCTCTCTAAGGCTGATGCTTTCTGGGCATGCACTGAAGATGCACCTTATCTGCACAGATGTATTGGAGCTCGCGGCACAGCAAGTCTCAGCCTTCGTAAGACCTCAGGCCGGCGCAGTTCATGTCGCCACCAATGTTCAGTTCGACATCCCCTCTGCCGTCATCTTTGCATACTCGATGCCAGGCTCGGACCAGGACTATTTGGCCCTGTTCGTCCTGGTATGCTGCCGTCAGCATTGCCTTCCCTCTCGAAATGTCCACGGACGGAAAACCATACAGAGTGAAACCTTTCGGAAGATGCTTGCACAACAAGCTGGAGCGAATGCAAATATCCGGCCAGTTCTTGCTGTTGCAAGACACTAATGTCACTGACATCTCGGTCCCGGCAGTCCCCTCCCGGCACAAGCTGCACAGGCGGTTACTGCTCACTCGCACGACCAAGCCGTTCACATCTTGTGCCTCGATAAGGTGATGCACTTTGGCCAAGCCAACGTCCAGAGAATGGCAGTACAAAACTACTTTCGGGAGCGCAACGAGCTCACGCAGAGTCCCTCGACAGCGGAAGCGCGGCTCCAACGGAGTCCAGTCCGGACATGCAGACATTTCATCACCGAGAACGGCCATACAAGGATAGGTCTCTTCCCCTTCCTGCAAAAAGGTCTCCCACTTTGAAGACCATGGCGGATGGCCGAGCGCTTGCAATGTACCACTTGCCACGGAGGTTATCGTTGCACGCTCGTAGGCAGAGGGGCTGTCGCTCGGTAGTCCTGCGTTGTGGCGAAGCTCTTCGGGAGCTGGTGCGAGCCACATGCAGCAGCACCACAGCTTCTGAGTGAAGACCTCGTGAAGCCATGCTAGCTGTCGTGCCGTAGGGCTTTGTGACAAGGCACAGTCTGCACCAGGCAACTGTATAGCATCCTCCTCCTCGGTCCTGCGCCACACCAAATCATGGTCCGGCGCGAGAACAAGGCCAGCGTCCATAGCAGCAAATGCCTTGGACCCCGCATCGGAGCACGCGAAGCAGACGGCTTGCGATGAAGGTGTGCCTTCATCGGCAAAGAAGCGCTCTAGAGGACTGTTTCCTCCACCCTCTTCCCCTGTTATGGGCAGCACCTTGTCAAACACAGCGTCGAACCACTCTCGATTTAGAGATGTGGGTCGGTATGCCCTTGGCGCGCTGTTTCGTTTGAAAGGGCTGTTGTCTGCGCTGACTTTTTCCCTCGGCGGACTCCTTTCCTCCTCTTCCACATCCTCTACCTGGGCGAGGATGAGCTTGCAGCCTTGCTCCCGCAACGAGTGGAGCAGGGCCGGGGACGGACCACCGCAAGCATCTGCGGACTCCAGGACTGCACAATGGAAAGGCAGACTCGGTGGCAGGCCTTCCGAGGGAGAGGGCGGGTTGCTTCGATAGGCTGGTGCCTCATAACTGTGGATGGCACTTGGCTCCAGCATTTAGTGCACCATCTGCGTCGCTCCGGGCAACAACATAAACTAGCTGCTGACCTGTTGATCAATCTTCTTGGACAGCAGATGACATGATGCGACCCTCTGCTTAACTATGCCGAACTACGCTTGTTTGTGGGTGGAGTAAGTGGGGGCTGGGGGCTGATGCGCCCCTTCCCTGTAGCGGGGGGGGCACCTTCATACTCTGACATTATGGCAGCGACTCTCTTGATCTGAGCAAAATCTGCAAGGCAGGGGTGACTGTATCGCGTAACTCGCCAAACACCCTCAGCCCGGAGCAGAGTGTTCGAAGAAACCCTGACCGCAATATTTTCACTTCCCACAGCAGATCACGCCGCTTGCACGGCTGTGCGTGAGTCAAGCTGCAGCCATCACTATCAAGTCTGAAAACCCACTTCCTCTTTGTCAGCAAAGTTTGCCGTCGTCACTCCGCTACCCCGCAACTGGACTCGTACTTTGGGCTTGCATTGAATGTTGCATCTGCTGGAAGGCTACATTGGAGTGTTATTGTGTTGGTGGTGGCATTGCTGTTGTTGGCACAGCGGCTGGTTGCCTTGCTGCAACTGCTGCCGTTGCCACTGCTGCTGTTGCCACTGTTGCTGTTGCCACTGCTGCTGTTGCCATTGCTGCTGCTGCCACTGCTGCTGCTGCCACTGTTGCTGCCACTGTTGCTGTGTCTGCTGCCAGTGCGACTCAAGCTTCTCTCGAGTCTGCCGAAACTCGTCAGAGTCTGGCAGCTGCACCAACAGCATACGGGAAAACGGTGCACCCTCCAGGGCTGCACGCTGGAACCTGCAACAAGAGACTGGCGGCATCTCAAGATCTGAAAGCTGTTGGGCATCTGGCCGGCCACCCTGATCGTTGGCGAAGGACAGCAGGGCCTGTGCATTTTGAGCAACAACCTGCCTCTGGCACTCGTTCACCGCTACGTGCTGCACTCTTGCCTGACAATAGCCCTCGTAGTTGCGCTGGTGAGGCGGGTAGAAGCGCACCTGCTTTCTGCAGAACGGATTGAAGATGTCAAGCAAGGAACGTCAACCGAAAACCCAAGGCCACATGTATGCACTGTTGGACATTCAGGCCCGGCACGCACTCGTTGCAGGGGATCACTACACACGGTGTCTTTGCGATGGCTGCCTGGAAGGCACCCAGCCACCCAGCACTGCACAAATCGCCCTTCTGAAACACAGAGTCTGAGCACACGTTCGGGGTCCCACATACTGCAGGCAAGGCGTTGTTGCTTCGTCCCCATACAGGGACACAATGGCACTAGCATTCTCCACCAGCTCTTTGTGATCTTCCTGGTCACAACTTGGATTCCGAATACTTTCAGAGCCCATGACTCTCTACATCTGGGTCGAGAACTACGAAGTCTGCATCGAAGGTGGTGCAGATAGCCCGGAGTTGAGGCGACGGGCCATCTACCTGCATCTGGGCAGTTGAGGGCGTAAGAACCGAGTCTGAACGCAGGCCTTCGCCTGCTGCAGTTGCGTGTGGCTGCTACTCTTGCCCGTCTTCCCCCAGTGCCCGTCGACCACTGTCACAGCTATACCTGCAAGCTCTTGCGCTGGCTTTCCCGATTCCCGTGAACCAATGCTCCCGGCAAACTCTCAGAACATCTTGACACTGCGGGCCTCGATCGAGAAGCGATGCAGCAAGGAATCCAGGCTCACCACCGATGTCCAGAACCTCACAATTCCCAAATGCGAATTACATCCCGTCTTTTTTGATTTTTCCTTCGCACGAAATCGAGTCACAATGATCCTCCCTTTTTGCCGGAACTAGATGGTTCTTTCCAGCCCGACCAGCTCAGAGCTGCAGCGCCAAAGCGCCCGCCAAGCACCTTCATCGTAGGAGGTCGTCCTTGTAAAGCCAAAGCAGCTACGGCTCAACTGCAAAGGATCCAAAAAACTCCTTGAAGACCAGGAACCCTTCCACAGCGAGCTCGGAGTTCATAGGCATCGGAGACTTCCCACGGCCCAAGCTTTCCGATAGCCTGAACAGCTGACAGCAGCAAACAACCACAAAGGGCGCGAGCGCCATGCGCACAACAGGATGAGCGGCTGTCCATCGACCCAGTATCCACCCGAAGACAGTCCAGCTTCAGCAGTCGCCAGGAGCACCGAGGTTTCCGCCCCACGCTCGGGTGTCTTTGCCAACTTCATCAGTGCAGCCGGTGCCTCGCAAAGATCAAGGCCCCCGCCGTTCCCCCGTCCCCACCACCCCCCGACGAGGATGTGGGCAAAAGCGGGCCTTGGTTGGTAGATAACGCTGCAGTTCGGTATCCACGATTCCAGGGTCCAACGCGTTGGCCACGATCGGCAGCCTCTGAGCTCTCAGCCTCTTAGCGAGTTCGTAGGTGAACATCACCTGCATTTGCACGTATAATCACTTCGAGCACAACCTGCTAGCCACCCACCGACTCGGGAGCCACCAAGGGGAGGGCATGGGGGGACGTGTGGGATTGCCACCCTGCCAAAACAGGAACCACGCGAAGATATGTTTGGAGAGCGCAGAGACCGGGAGCCAAGAACCGCACATGCTTCGGGAATGTGATCAAGCAAACCATTGACTGGCGGCTGTGGATGTACATTCTGAACCTTTCTTTCAAGGTCGCTACTTCGGAGGTGACCGCCTCGCAGAAAGTAGTTAAATTGTCAAATCGTAACTGCCAGTAATTGCAGCAAGTACCCCAGCATCTCTTCCTAGGTCCACCGAGTGGAAAAGCACTGAAAACACATGCAACCAAGCCTGTGCAAGCTTCGACTGCCCGTATGCCGTCCAGGGGTAGTATGCATATCTATCGCCATCACGAGCTGATAGATTCAGGTCCGCCATGTCACCAAAGGCCAGTGGACTCCGGACAAAATGTGCCGAGGATGACACGTTGATAATCCTCGTGTCAACGGGCACGCAAAGCAAGTTCGGAATGCATCTGCACATGATCCCTTCGTGTTCTAGCTCATCCGTCCTTGCAGGATCATCATCGGTTCCCGCTTTCGAAAGCTCCGGTATCAACAAGTTAACGAGTAAGAAGTGACTCAGGTAGTTGACTTCGAGCTGGAGTTCGTTGCCATCAACGGAGACATGCCTCTGTGGCAACGCCATCACGGCTGCATTGCAAACCAAGGTGTGCAAAGGTAAGCCCGTATCCTGGAACTGCTTGGCGGCTTGCCGAACTGATTGAAAGGAAGAAAGTTCCAACGGGAGATACTCCAGCTTTGAAGGCGAGCCTATCTCGTCAATAGTCGCTTTGGTTTTTGATTCGTTGTGCCCAGCAAGGAAGACTGTTGAATACGAGCTGCTGCGGCACAGCTCTTGCGCTGTCGCCCTGCCGATTCCTGTCGATGCTCCTGTTATGAGGGCAACTTTGGCCTTATTCTTCTGCCCCTTCGGCCGTTCCGCTCTTGCCCTGCTAGGCCGAGCCAGGGATGCGCACGACAGAACAGCCAAGTGTCGCAAGGACGCTCGGCTCGGCTGGCTTGGCCGGCATGGCTTGCCCGAATTGCCCTGGTGGCACTCAGGGAGCTGGGCATCCTGGGCACGACACCCAGTCTTCCAAGCCCTTGTTGGGCCGTTGGGCCGGGCTGAAGCTGCCGTAGTCCAAATAGCCGCAGTGACCATGAGCCGCACACGAAAGACCCAGAGCGCACGAAGCAAATTTGTCAAGTTGCACCCCCGTTAGCGTTTTGAACAAGACTGCCCTGGCTGCTTATCCAAGGTCTCTTCTGTGAGTGCCTTTCAACAACAGCACGACATTTGGCCGTGCATTCGCTTGAGGAGCGGCAGCAAATCAGCACGACCAGGATGGAGCTAACACGAAACATGCCGGTGCTCCATTGCTCCATGATGGCGACGGCTACTGCACAGGTAGACTTGGCGATGGCTGCAAACTCTCGCTGAGCTTCAGGCGCCAGATCCTCGTTGCAGGTTTGAGAGGCCCCAAGTTTCCACCTGAGCTCGATCTCTATGGTGTCAGAAGAAGCAACTCCAAGTTCCTTTCCGGATTAGTCTATTCTCAATTCTGCATGGTATCTGCGTTGTACTTGGGCACTCTTTCTGCGAGCACTTTATCTTGTTTCCAACTTCTAATGGCACGTTCGGGTGACAAGGGTCGATTGATGCCCAAACAGAACCGCTTCAAACCTTCCTCCAGTGCTATACAAAGCGCTTCAATTTTCGGGCTTCACGAACTTCATGAAGAGTGCCATGCAGCTCAGCGTGTGTATATCTTCGGATCCCTGAAGGTTCTGCCCATATCCACCGGGTGAGGCGGATAAATCAAGACAGGCCACCATCCACTCTGCGAGCATGTCGGCTTCGGCTTTCTTGTTGTAGCACCTGAGGCGTCACATTTGGATTGAAGGATTTTGTCTGACGCGGTGCAGAAGGGAGTGCCAAGAGCAGAACCACCGAGAGCCACAGCTGGAAGAGACCCAGTCCTTCCACTCCAAGCTGGTCCAACCATCAAAACGCGGCTCTGGATCGTAGAATTTGGGCCATGGTTCCCATCCTTCGCATGCCAAACTGCACACGCCAGGCAAGCGCAACTCTGGCTTTCCGCTCCACTGATTCTTGCACTTTTCCTGACAACCGGTCCTCGACCTTTGCCGCAACCCTTTGCTTTCTGAGGGCAGCTTGGACATCCGGAACATACCTGGGGCTGCTGAGCCTGCTGCGGCTGTGGTGCGCACGGCGTACACGCCACGCAGCCGTCACAGCCATTCTGTGGCGACGCCGTTGGAGTGGCTGCAGGCAAAGTCGTCTCACCAGGCTTCCTGGTTTGCTTCGACTTCCCTGTGTCTCCTCGAGGCCCGTGGCAACCTCTTCGACTCGTCGCCCGTCCCCCCTAAACCCGAAACAAAGGTCCTCCGTGGCTCGGCTCGACGACTTCCACCTCGTCAGCTCTCTTCTCCAGCTTTCCGGAGGAGGTCAAGCCTGTGCAAGAAAAACGGTAGCCTCCGCAATAAGTCGGGGTAACTAGGGTCGGCGCCGCAGTCGCTGTCCTTGGGCACCTGCATGGGGACCGTGGGACCGTGTCGAGAGCGGTTTGCTCCCTCGGGAGCCCTGATCCGAGCCGCGAGCCTCAGCTGCCTTTGCGGCCTGAGCCAGGACCGCCTGCAGACTGCAGACACGCGAATCGACGAATTGCTTTCTCTGCATTTCGACGCTCTGCCATCGAAACGCACGTCGACCTGTAAGCTTGCCAGCACCTGCTGCAAAGCTTGTCCATGCTGCGCGAGGAGCCTGAGACGTTTTTGCGGTTATTGCAGCCTGCATCCTCCCCCATACCCCGACCACGGAAACCGTCTCGATCTTAGCTTCTTCTCTTATCTTCTCTTTAGTTTGCCCGAGTTCTCACCCGGCCAGGCTTGGAACAAGCTAAGCAGCAAAGCAGACGTATGGCAGGCGGCAGCGAGGTCGCTCGGCAGCTGCGCCGCAGCCATGGCAAACTAACCAGCCCGTGTTCCAAGCAGACACATTGATCACTGAAAACCAACACTGTTGGCCTGCTTGGACTGCTGGGTGCTAGGTTGTTGAAAAGCCTGCAGAGGGCACACAAATCGGCACATGGTGCTTTGACGGCAGACCGACGTGCGACAACTTGACGTGCGACAAGGCATTCATCTGGTTGGTTGGTGGGAGCTGCATCTCCAACTCCCTGCCATAGCATCCAATCCCGGCGATGTGCAATCTCACATCTCCGACACGTGGGGGGGGGCAAAGCCGGTGGAAAATGGTGCCTGCCCAGCAATGCCGGGAATGCAAACTGCCCGGTATGCAACGACTCCTGTCACAAGAGCCGCCCCGGGCAAAGCACTGAGAACCACGAGACTATCGGGCTGGAGGGAGAAGGCTCTTCTCCATGCTTTGATGATGAAGCCCCGTTTAGACGGGACGGTGAGAACTCTCCCCAAGCTGCACTGCACCGGTCTTTCGGCTGATCTCATCACTCAGCTCCGATGCCATGGACTCAAAGCTTGGCCATGGAACGCCGAGCTGCCCACACATACGCATCTGGAAGATTGCCTGCAGTGCCAAGCCAAGGGGCTCTCAATCTTTAGATGCATGTGGACCGGTGCACCTAACGCAAAGTACGACCTTCTTGCAGCTGCGCGGCGCTCGACATAGCCGCTGGGCAAAACTTTGATTCTTCGCAGCCGGCATGCTTCCATGTACGTGATCTCAGGTTTCCACACAGCTGCGGCCCCATCTGCCACGAATTTTCGGAAAAGCACCTGTCGCTGCGAATGCCAGAAACAGCAATTGCCAGCCATGGTCCACAACCAAATAAAATGACGACATGTTGACAAAAGGCGATTAGCTCGGGACTTTAGTTATGCCATCGTTAGAAGTTGCTTATTTGCGCCACAAGAGTGACCCCGACCTCTATGTTGCTTTTCGCCATCCACATCCGATCGTAAGGTGTCTTTGGATAGAGCTCTCGGACTATTTCTTCTATCCTCACCGGCTCGGAGCGCTTTACAAGAGCTTGCCATGCTTGTTCTTCTCGCTTCTGCCTATGGGAGATGTAGCGCTGAAGGAGGTCAACTCCATCTCTGATGTGCCCACCATGGCCAGGGAATAGACTGATCGGGTGCATGTGAAGCATCTTCCTCAAAGACTCCATGTAATCTTTCATCTCCACGACAAAAGTCGTTCCCCAACCCAGGACATGGTCTCCGGAAAAAAGGGAATGCTCCTCTTCAAGCAAGAAGCACATATGGTCCTCCGAATGTCCCGGCATATGTAAAGCGGTCAGCGTCGCCCCTTCGGTGGAAATAACGTCTCCAGTGTCCAGTGCTTGCCAAGGATACTCTCCGCTGCGAAGGCGATCAAGCAGGTCCTGAGAATTCCAAACGAAATAGAACTGCCACTGGAGCTTCTCAGCAATGTTCTTGCCTGGCATGTATTTGACTCTGTCTGCTGCCCATGCCAAGTCGAGCGAGTCGGGCAACACCTTCGGCGCACTGTCTTTGAGTGGATTGTATCTCGGTCTGCCGTCAAAGCCCTGCAGATATCTCAGCTGGTCTCGCTTTGACAGCTCTGAAATTAATGCGAAGGATGCACTGGAAAATTCTCGCGAGTACACAGGGATCGGACCATACTTCTCCTGCAGCCGGCCGACATTGCCGTAGTGATCGTGGTGCATATGCGTAATTACAATCCCATCTAAACCTTCCACTCCGAGCTCCGCAAGGCATGCGCTTAAGTTTTGCATGAAAGCTTCGGCTCCGAAGTGCTGCTCTCCTGTGTCGACTAAGATGCGTCGACGGCCCGTACCAACCAAGTAACAGTTGGTTCCATTCAACGTGAAGGACGAGGGGTTTTGTGCCAGTATGCAAACCACCCTGTCCGTCAGTTGCTCCCAGTCGGGCTGTGGCTGCAAACCGCCGCTTCCTTCGAAGCGGTTCAGCCCAATGGCAACGACGTTCCTGCGGTCCTTTGGTGTTTCCTCTGCTTCCTCGGGGTGCTCTTCCGGCTCTTCCGGAAGCGTCGGGGCCGTGGAGGCGCATGCCTGGGACATCAGCGGAGGCGGCCTCGGCAGCATCGACCTCGGCCCTCTCTTCAACCTCCGCTTGGAGCGAAGAAAGCGCTCAGGGCCCCTAAGATCCCCATCTGCCTCGGCCACATCGGCTTCGAAGTCCAGTGGCACACAACAAGGGCAACCCCACTCCATGGCAGCCCGCTGGAAAAAGGAGCCACTTGACATGAACAGCTGCGGACGAACAACCAAGCATCGCGGAGCACGTCTAACGAACATTCGGCTTTGGCACTCCATGCTGAAGAATCCCGGAGGTGCAGCTACGATTGTCTCTTGGATTCACATCGCCTGGGCCCCCCCTTTTCTTGCTTAAGCTTCTTCTCATGCCCCCTCCTCTTCACGAAAGGAGGCCCCGAGAGCGGAGGCCCGAGAGCGGAGGCCCCTGAGTGTCGGAGGCCGGGACGCGCGACTGGCAGCTGAAGAAGATGTCGGGTCCGGATCTGATCGCCTGAGGGTGTCCTTCGTCAACCTTCTTGGAACTCCGGCCGTATTGTGTTCGAAGTCGTAATCGATGCGCTTCCAGGATCATGATTGTGAGCCAACAAGTTTAACGATCTGGTTGTCGTGGTTTGCTGGCGTGGCAATAGATCGAAGCGTCTCATCGCATGTCGTCATCTGAAATTTCGATGGAAACCGTGTCTGCAACATGTGGGTTACCAGATCTAGCATTCCCTGTCGTGCTCGTTGCACTGCGGGACCGTGAGTTCGAGAACGACTCTACGCCAGGCAGCCTGCGGTGAGAGCATGTGCAGCTTTCTGCTTTTGTTCCTAGAGTTCCGAGGCTTTCCATCCCAAGCTTCATCTGCTGCCTCAGCCGTTCCGCCTCCTCCTGTGCCCAAGAGCACGGTTCCCAAAAGCCACACCTTAGCGAAGCGACATTTGATGCAGCGAGGCTTCGCCGCACATCGACACAACACCTGTCCTTTGCTCCTACTATAGCTCTTGGCCACGGCTCTGTCTGGACGTCCTTGGCTACAGGAAACTCCTTCGAAGGCTAATGTGAAAAATGTGTGTGTGTGTGTGCCAAATACCAAAAAGCGTAGGTTCCCCATGGGGCAGCAGGCCAGGTAGTACCGTCCTGTCCAAATCCCCCAGGTTGAAATCTCAGACCTGACTCTCCCGCAATCGCGCCTTCTTTGCTTTTAAGCGCACTCGGCCTGCCTTGGCAAAGCAGCTCTGGACTCCGATGCGCAAAAAGAAATATTCATATCACAGACAAGCGACCACAGTGACATGATTTCTGATGCTGCGCGAGCTCTGGGCGCGACATTCGGAAGGTCAATGACAATCGCACAAGGCCTGGCCGGCCGGATTACATAGCCATGTCGGAAACACGTAGAGGTTCGCACTACTACAGATCTCCCACCCCACACCCACGCGATCCTGCCACGGTGTGCTTCTCGACAGTGGAGTCAGCTTGTCTGGGGACAGAGTGCTGCCACTCTTCCTGACAATCGTCCCACATGATGACAACCTCAAAGCCGACTGACCACACTTCTCTGCTGCTGGACATGCACTTGGTAAACCACCCTATGCGCAGAACACAAACAGTGAATGAGCTATCGGCTGTGTTGTGAGGCATTGGTATGGATGCCACCTTGCCGCCGTGCGCAGAGTGAGCTGCTAACTTGACAGTATGCCGGCATGACTCCGCATGACTCTTGACGGCACGCAGGTCAAGATTTCAAACTGCTGTGACAAGCCACAACGGTCTTGCTGGCATCACGCGGTGAATCTGGAGTAGTACTTCGGCGCAGGCAGAAACGACGGCAAGATCCCAGCGAGAGACCCACGATGATCGGCCGTGGTCCAAGGGAGTTGAGAAAATCCGAATGCCAACCGACACAATTTCTTCCATGTTCATAACGGTTTCCCAAAGCAAGCGTAGGCACCCAGTTCGTGTACGGCCTCTTTTCACGAACAAGGCTTTGGATGAAGATGGCCGCTCGATCAAGGGCTGCAGACGGCTCGCATCTGGTACGACCTTCCTCCTTGCCGAAGCCGTCTTCGCTCCCATTGGACCCACTGCCACCAGCGAATTCATAGATGGCCGATGTCCGGGGAGTTGCGAACTCCTTCCCATGTACGATCCAGGAGCTGGCCTTCCAGGAATCCGATTCCCGGAGCAGCGAATCCAGAAGCTGGTCGGCCAGCTTATGTGGCAGCGCATGGCGGATAATTTCGACCGGAGCGATGGCAGCAAGCTCCTCATCCGAAACACTGACGGCTCGCCCTGCTTGACCGACTCGCACGGTTCGCACAGTTGCGGGCTGTGCAGGAAGGCGATGGAGTGGCCAATTCACAGCAGCATCAGACTGGTGCCATGACGTGGGCCCCAACGACTCCTGGACATCGCTACCCGTCCCTTGTTTATCTGCAGGGGTGGTATCTGTGTCGCAAGCACTATCAATTCGAATTCCCCTCCGTTCTCGCAAAAGGATCCTCTGCATCACCATGAAAAGGCTTGGCGTGGCCCTCTTGCTTGCTCGCCTCCTGGCAACTGTTCAAAATGCGATGGGGCTCAGTACAACTTTGATAGAGCTTGCAAGCACGACCGGCATCCTCAAGATCCACGACTTGACGAGCAGCAGCACCGCAAGCTAGTGCTTGCAAAATTGGCACCTGCCTCGCAGGCGCCACGTTTCCAATCGCAACATGAACATTACCGCCGTTGTTGCCATCAGACAAAACCGCACACCTTGTAAGCACAAACTGCGTTGCCTCGCTTTGCGCTTCATTCTGCCTCGTGGCGGATGTTGATCCGAGCGACTACATTTTACCTCGCAAGCTCGAGCCAAAGACCTCGCAAGGATCGAGTGGCAGCAGCTTAGACCATGAGAACCCTGAACACAGACTGAGCGTGAACAGAAAGCGACGTTTTGCGATGGCCGGAGAAAGCCCAACGACTGTGTGATAAGTCCCAAATATCCTAGACATCGCTGAAATCATCGGGTGACATCGGGTGAAACAGGTCCGTTGCACTCTGCGTCATCGCGCCCGACAATTTCAGAGCTATCTTCTTCCGCCGCGTCTGCCCCCGCCTTTGCCTCGAGTTTCCTCTTGTCGCCGCCGAGCCTCTCTCTCTGCTGCGCGCTCAGCTTGCAGTGTAACCTAGGTTCAGTGGGTGTTGGCCGCTTGTGCAAGCTCTGACTAACTCTGACTTCAATCGAATCACCATCTCCCGTTCCTTCTTGACTTTCCGGCCCAGGGCAGCAACGGCAACGCAGACGACGCCGATCACGCCGATCAGCATTATGGCAGGGCCATTTCCTGACAATCGAGAATACAACTTGCCAAAGCGAATCACGGGCAAAACAGAGGCAATTGAGGCAATAAACGATTCACCAGAAGAAACAGCCAAGCGGCCAGAGTCTGGCATTTATGGACAGGGGCTGGATTGGCACTACATGTTGTCTTGACAGCTGCTGCAGCCTCAACAAGCCGGACACATGTAGCACAAACTGCGATTCGGCACTTGGTCTCGACCTCAAGGGTACGCAGAGGCTGCTTTTCCTCGCAAGAAACAGTCCTGCTTCGCGTCATCAGATGCCTTCGCATAGAATCTTAGAAGATGCACGGCAGCTCTGGATGGGCCTGAAAAGGCAGCCGGCGGTGTCCCACAACAGGAAGCCCTCATTCCCTCGCCATCCCAGGCGCCTCCCGGAGTGCAGCTCCCGAAGACCAGAAGCGGCCCTGGTACGTGATAGTGGATGTCGGGTACAGACCCTGCTTCCACCGTGTCTCGATCTCCTTGGTGGGTCCACGAGTCGAAAGTCTGTGAAAAGAGCTTCGGCTTGCCCGTGATGCCCGTGCCGCCCAGGAACATCCAGCATCTTGGCCTTGGATCGAGGGAACCCACCGGCCAAATGTAGCATTACTTTTGAATCAACACAGTCCACAAAAGTTGGCCGAGGCAAAAGCTAAACAGCTACGACAATCCTGAACACACTGGGGCAGGAGCTGTCGCATCTGGATCCTTGCAGTTGTGCGCCGTCCAGAATGCCTGCACAATAAGTGTGACAGTGTAGAAGCTCCAATAATCCCCTGATATGCGCGACACCGTCACTCACGAGCTTGGTGAAATCAAGAAGGATCATTCAGGGACTATTTTTTTTGCTCATGGTCTTTATATTTCTTTACTCCCTCATCTCATGGAGCGACGGCTGAAAACCAATGTATATGCTAGGCCGTCTATCCAGGTCGAGCAGATCAGAGGAATCCACATCTACGGTCTACCACGTCTTGCTCCATCTGACCATTTGCGAGATCTTGAGAAGCGAGGGCGGATGCACAAAACAAAAACTCCAGGGCTCAGAAAATGCTCGTACAAATATACATGGCTTGTCAGTTAAGTTTAGGCAAGAGCATCTGCCACAGCTTCCACCTTGGCTGCGCCGTGGGGGTAGAATTTTGGATCGTTGGCAATGTCGCCGGTGCTTGTTGCATCTCCGTTCCTCAGAGTGACAGAAGCGCCGGGTCGATGCACCGACGACTCCGATCATCGCTTGTGATGCTTCTTCTTGACCATCAGCTGAAGGCAAGATTCTGAGGGCTCCAGCTCAGCATGTCAGCAAATTCATGATAATCGTTATCGAATTTGCACCACTGCTTTGTCCTCAGATCGGCCCTACCTTCCAAAGCTGTTGTTCTCGCTCCGAATGAGCTGTTCTTGCCATCTCTCAACAGCCTGCTGAATTCGAGATCAGATGCCCCTTCTCCTTAGCACATGCTGGACATGCCGGCCGTCGCGCATGGGGGCTGCCAAATCGTTACATGAGATACTCGAAGCAAAGCCTCTTCCCAGGTCGCCACGTTCAGAAGGTCCTCGTCCTCTGGAATCTTGGCCACGGCAAGGGCAGCCAATTCACCAGCGTTGTCCGTCACTGCAGGCAGTTTCCTCATCTACGTTCCACAACGGTGACTCAATGCCAGGGCATCAAATGCTGGAATAAGAAGCTGGGCGTCTCATCTCTGAAGTGGCGGCGGAGCCAGCGTCCAAGGAAAGGCAGGGAATAGAAGGTCCTGGAGGCTCGTCGCATTTGCAGCTCCTGCTCAAGCCTGTTTCAGCCACCGCGTGTCCATGTTGGATGGGCGTGGCTCCATCGCATGGTGTGGTGCTTGCAGGCCTGCATCACACGACTTGCAGAGTTGCTTTTTTTGTAGAACATGGAATTGCTGAGTCTGCACACAGGGGGGTCAGGACAGTAGCGCTGCCACCACACATTGTTGGGCGTATCCGCCTCTGCGGTCACACAAGCATGAGTCATCATGAGTCGTCAGTGCCAACACCATAGCAGCTGCATGAGCCTGCGTGAAGCTGTAGAAATGCACCGGCAGAATTGGAAGAGGAGTTGCTTGCGTGATCTCCTTCCGAAGGCCGGGTATGCAAGGTGAGAGCATTTCAGGAAGCAAAGTCAACACAAGATGCCACATCGCCCTTCCCTCCTTTTCGCTCATATCAAACCTGAGTTCTGGAAAAGTTGCTCGCAAATGGGTGGGCATGTCCGCAAAAATCCACCGGCGACATCCAGGCAATTGGCATGTAATCAACTCCTGGCCCCACAAACTGATCAGAATCCAACTCCACGCCCGTGACGGCCTCGGCTCTCTGCTAATTCGGAACACATAGACCAGTAAACCAGGACACCTTGCGGATCAACCGAGGGCCGATACAGCATGCTAAGGCTGCATCGCGAGAGATCAGGAAGGATCTCAATTTGTTGAAGTTGAAGCTTCGGTGCGCATCGGGCTCCATGGGGGCAGCATGTAAAAGCAACCTCGCTCATCAAGCATGGATGCTACATTCCTCCCTGGAGCGAACAATGATGCTGGGACCCGTGCAAACGTGGAAAACGTTCGGATGTCCAGGAGTCTGGGGTGCGGCTTCCCAAGTGAAGCACGACGATGGGAGCTTCGGAGAACATGTGCACAGAACCTCAACAGCCCGAAACTCTAGTTTGGACGACCACAAACAGCCTATGACGTCTTTCCTACTGCATATACAAAATATGCAGCGATGAATACAATACAATAGGCACAGCGCAGGCCCAAAGATTGTGGAACCTGTGCAGTAGTCAGTAGTAACAACGACAACCACACGTTCGCGTACTGCATCTTCTGCTATCCTGCTTGATGTTGTTGAACCTCAAAGGGTGCCCACATGTGCTGCCGGATTGACCTTCCTGCCTCCAGGGACCGCCTGCAAAACATGAAACTCGTGTAAACTGTCTCCCCGAAGCTGTCGTGCTGCTAGTACAGGGTTCAATTCAATAGTATACATCTATATATCCTGTGTTTATGTGTATATGGTGTACATGTGGAAATGCAGGGGTTCACAAATAGACATTTGTGTGTATATGCAGGGGTTCACAAGTAGATATTTGCCCCTCCCCCCTCAGAATCCACACCTTAACTCTATTTGGTATGCAGGCATAATACTGGTCTGCACATAATTGTGTATACGCATCTTCAGATTTTGATATCTAGCGGTGACACCCCTCCATCTGCGCATGCTGCACAAGATAGACGTACATCCGGAACGAGCATGCAATCAACTAAATAAGAAGAATCACTTGAGGTATTAGGCAGTCCCGAAAAAATCAATATCTCTAACTCCACAGGCCAATATATGAGCATGTTCCTCGAGGCAGTCCCAAAGAAACCCAAACAATCAAGACTTCAGGACCTTCCAGAAACCTGACATGAGCATATCTCTCGAGACAGTACCAAAAAGAAAACAAAAAACGCAGAGGTTTCAGAACCCTCAAGAAAACTGAAATCAGCAGATTTCTCGAGGCAGTCCATACAAACAAAACAACTCAAACTCCATAGGCCAATATGTGAGCATATTCCTCCAGGCAGTCCCAAAACAACCAAAAATCTAACATTTAAGAACCTTCCAGAAATCTAGAACGAGCATATTACTCGAGGCCGTCCAAAACTGTACAAAATACGTAAGCCGAAAAATAAGCAGATAATTGCCTTTGCAATAACTCCAAACATTTGTTTTTGTTGGCACTACCTCGAAAGAAGCTTATGGACGGGTGCATTTTTGATTTCGTTGGGACTGCCTCAAGCGATATGCTCATTTTGTCTTTCCGGGTCGTTTTTTTCTGGGACCGTCCCGAAAAATGGCCTTAGGAATGGCTCCAAATCTTTGGATTTTGCTTGTTTTTGGCTGCTTCGAAAGATATGCTCATTTCTTTGCCTACGGGCTTTGGCTTTATTGGTTTTGTGGGACTGCCTCGAAAGTCTTGCTCATTCTGGCTATTCGGTTTGTTTTTTCGCGAGCTCTCGAGAAATGGCCATTGGAATAATCCGAAACATTAATGCAGCATTAGTTCTATTGAAATTGGGACTGCATCCAGAAATATGCTCGTTTGTTGGTGCTGAGGCTTTTCAGCATTCGCTTGATTCGTTGCCACATGATGCTAGACATAATAAAATGATAGCGGATTTTTGACCGAGCTGCTTATTCGATGCGTGATTTAAGCTTCATAACTTAATCAGAACCAACTGAAACTTAGATACTGTTTTTAAACGATTTTAAACGCTACTCCAGTAACATGTGTTGAGCGTCAGACGTATAATTCGTGGATTACTCTTTTGGTGTTTCATGAATGTGTGAATGTTTATATGTACAAATTTGCCTTAATTGAAAATATCATGTGGGAGCGGTATGTGCTTGGCATCAAACTTTACATAGTTTTTAGGCTGCACTTTTGGATTGCACATCAGCAACTAAGCGTTACACACACGTTTGTTCAATGCTTTAATATCCACATGTTTTCCTTTCCACATGAGGGGGTTCTGCAAATCATACTCGTCATTGCCTTAAACTTCACACCTACCTGACAATAAACGAACTGTCACGACGGGTCGATCACAAGAACATGCTGAATGCCAATGCCATATCTCGGATTGTTAACCTAAAGACTTGACGCCTGTTGAACAGTTTTGGTTTGACATTTGACAAGATGTCTAGGTTATTTCATGAACGTTTCACTTGTATGTAAATTTACATGATGTCCGAACACGCAGTATGAAGGATGCGCATATGGAATAATTATGGAATTTCGCGAGCTCGCGTTGCTTCTTCTTCATGAACGAGTTTTCTTTGGACGGCCTTATAAAAAGCTCACTCGCGTCCCAAGATTTACTGTGAGTAAGAACAACAGGAGTTGGACCTAAGGAGCTTCTTACATGTTGGCAGCCCCGCTACCTTGTTCCGACGTAGGGAGGGCCTGTGGGGTCTGGCACGGCCTATTGGCTGACTTTGCAGAACCACCCCCGGAAACAAACGCCTTCGTAAACACACCTTTCCTTTCCAGGTTTGCTCTTAAAACGTGACCAAGCAACTTTAGTTGTTCCCTGTGGACTTTAGTTGTTCCCTGTGGATGTTGTGTGTGAGGGGGACTGGTCAGCCAAAGATCGGACTCCTTCGTTGCACATGGATTGGGCAAGGTTGTCATTGAAAACCTTGCTGTCAAAAGTAGATTTGATCCGCTGAGCCTTGCGAAGTGGCTGCGAGTGGAACGCTTCCAGCCTGCAAAGGTCTGCTGTGGAGAGCGCTGCTCATTCTATACGATAAGCCAGCATCGGTACGAACCCCACATTGGAAAATCGGAGATTCCAGGCAACGCTCAGGCGTGCGCTTTCCAACATTGATGCTGTGTCTTGAAGTGCTTCCGTGCCTCAGCCAGCCTGGTGTGACGTCATGTGACGTCGGTTTTGCTTGAAGAATCGGCCCTCAGATTGACCCCCACATACTTGGCCAGCCTGCCCCGCTTGAGGCTTTCGCCAGTGAAGAAGCAAAAATGGATGCCGGCGGCCTGCGAGTGGAGCAGCACCGACTTCTTGTAATTCAAGGTGAAGTTGCTCTGTGCTGCAATTACTTGCAGCACATCCAGGATCTACTGCCCGCGCTCGACGCTCGGAAGCGCCTGTGAAGGTATCCGTATCGTAGAATGACTGGTTTTGGCTGCACGGCAAGGGTTGGCCGTTTCGTGGCAACGCCTGGTCGACCTCGGTCTGCGCCAGTTGCCGCCGCAGCCGCAGCCCTGCGGACGCAGCCGCAGCCGTCGGCCGTCGGCCAAAACCGTGGCGGCTGCGACAGCGGCGTTGGTTGCAGGCGACCGGCTGCGGCTGCGTCGGCAACCACTGCCGCCAACGCAACCCCTGCCACAGCTGCATATCACCAATAACAGGTACGGGCCTGCCAAATCCCGGAGCCTGCGGGAGTGCGGGCGAGTCGGGTTGGATAGGCGAGGTGGTGAGGTTGTGGAGTGAGCTCTGGAATTGCTCGTCGAAACCAGTGATCTGTGTGGCGTCTGGGCTTCTAGTGATTCTTGTGGGTTTCGATGGCTTCGACTGGCGCTTGCGATTGGCTGTGCGATGGTTAAGCGTCACTTGGGTGAGGAAAAGTGGTTGCTGTTGAGCGCCGCTCCGAAGGGTGTGCATGTCGGTGACCATGTTGCATGCCAAGCAAACGTAGTGATGGCATGTTGGAGCTGTACCAGGTCTCCATTGGAGGTCGGCGGATATGATATGACACACCACTGCAATAATCGCGCCAATCGATCGGGTAATGAGCGCAGAGTCCGGATCAGAATAAACCTCCGGGGGGATGCAATGAAATGTAGCATTCGAAGAAAGTCCGGTACTCCTGATCTCACTCATGTCGTCAGCATAGACCGACGACGAACAGCTCATCTGGTCCGAATCAAGAAACTGTGCTGAATCGCATCCATCCGACATGACGTCTGGAACTGAACTATCCATCCTAGAAGCTGCTACGAAAAAAGAGGGAGAGAGAGAGAGAGAGAGAGAGAGAGAGAGAGAGAGAGAGAGAGAGAGAGAGAGAGAGAGAGAGAGAGAGAGAGAGAGAGAGAGAGAGCAAAGAACATGCAACGACTGTCGGAACTCTTAGTCCATCATTTTGCTCGAACCTACCACACTTCACCACATGTGGGGTTGCCATCTATTAGGATGGTTCTGTGCATCGTCTAAATCCTTGTAACCCGGAGCGGTCCTAACGAAGTGAACTACATCCAGAGTGGCCAATGCCAATGCAGTGATAGGTTCCATGAATGAGAAATGTCGCCCGTTCTGATGCAGTTGGGAAACCTGCCAGCTGAGGACGACGACCTGTCAGTTCCTGGATCCTGTAAGTGAGGAGTTTCTTCCCTCCATCAATAGTGTCCACGCTGCAGCATACCAAATGTATCGTCATAGCTTGATTCCTGGTGCATTGTCTGCCGGGACTTGAATGGTAACTCTGACAGCCTGAGGATCTCGCGGGAAACCCGCTCGGCTGCAGTCCGTTTCATGGCTGTTGCTATGCAAGAAGCACGCTAGACCTGCAGCCGTAGTGACCAGCAACACAGAATGCGTGCACCCTGCAGGACTCAACTCGTAACGAATGAGAGAGAGAGAGAGAGAGAGAGAGAGAGAGAGAGAGAGAGAGAGAGAGAGAGAGAGAGAGAGAGAGAGAGCGCGAGAGAGAGAGCGCGAGAGAGAGAGAGAGAGAGAGAGAGAGCGCGAGAGAGAGAACAGAGCAGTGACAAGCAAATCTTTCAAATGCGCAATCGACGAACCTTTGCGTGAAGGTCCTGTCCATCGAATCCTCTTCGCAGATAGATTTCAATTAAGTCCTCCACCTGCGGTCGAATTAGTCTCCGGGGTCTTGTGTTCCGAGCAATCGTCAGGGCCTGGTGGGCCCGCAGACCGACGCGACCTGAGAAGGGTGATGTCACCTGGTTGTTGCATGGTGATAGCACCTTGTGTGGTCGACGTAATAGACCCTAGCAGTTGTTCACCTGGGACGCGCTCAAGCTCAATCCGCAGGCCATAGAAAGTCAGCTGAAGAATCAACTCTCCCCAGTCTGTCCGAAGCTCGGCCTGATGAAGAAAGAAGCATCTGTTA